ATGCAGAGCAGACTAGAGGGGTCATCTCTCCCCTCCTTGAGAGATACCACGAAAACAGAACAGTAGGAGATGGTCTACCCCTCCCTGCTCCATGGTTTCTCCTCTGGAAATTGGGGGTGAAAGGCAGCTAGCAAGCCCTTGAGGGCTGCGTGTGGTCCATGGGGTCCCCACCCCTGCTGCAGATGGGTGCAGAATCTGCCCCATTGTGAATGATGAGTGTGGTCTCTAAATGGGTAGAATTAACACAGGGCTCGGCTTGGATCATGCCTGATTTGAGTCACCAAATGCAGTCAGCAGACTAAACGCATCTGGTGCAATCAAGAACAGGCAACGCAGCTTGTAAAATGAGTAACATGCAGTCAACATGTTTCACTTGGGGAAAATGAGCCTGTGTGAGAAAGCGCATTTTACAAGCTCCTTGGTGACACCCAAACACAGAAGTTCCAGATTCAATGTTCTGGCTCTTATCCAGCACAGACTACACTGGCATCGATTTCTGAACTCCATCCGCCCTTGCAAAGCCCCTTTGTTGTTAGCTGATTTAGGCTTCCATCTGGTTAGGGAGGGAAGGTTTAAATCTTAGAAAGAAATAAAGAACCTTCCATTGTAGAAGGTAACTTTAGTCCTTCGTTACGCAACGCAGTTGCCTCAATTTAAATCCTAGATTCAGTCGTAAATACAGAGTGAAGTCAAGTATTGGGTGATCATCTAAAGCAGAAGCTGGTGGGCTATGACCCTCCAGATATTGTTGGACCCCAGGACTTGTCAGGCCCAACCAGCCTGGCCAATGTTAAGGCAGCCCAACAGTATCTAGAAAAGCGCTGATCTTCCACTGCTCCTTCAAAGAAGTGGGATCAGTCCTGCGCTTTTCTTCTTTAAAACTGGAATCTCTCCATATGCAAATGAAAGTGAGCAAAGTGATGCGAATTCATTTATGGGAAGCATAAGTAAACATCCAGCTACCTAATGGCTGAGAAAGATCAGAGACAATGAAAGGCATGGCCTTTCTTTTGAGGCTTGGGTGAAATTCCCATGCTAGTTTCTGAAAATATTCTCTTTCTGTGGAAATGGTATCATTTTCTTCTGATTTCTTGAGGTGGAAGGTAGGGGGCGAATTTATAGGCAATGCCTGGGAGCGGAGGCGTTGCTATTTGATATAGTGTTAACATAGTGAGGTGTCTGGAAATGTGCAATTTTGTCCTTGCTTTTCCGACTTCTTTTTAAAAGGCCCCTGGCCAATCCTTCTGCATCTTATGCCACCTGAGCATGGAAGGGAAGGGATGGGATCTGGTGTTTCTCTCCGGGCATTTCAGGAAGTGCAGCTGATGGGCAGCTGTACGAAAGGAGCCTGCCACCAGGATGAGTGGTACAGGGGCTTCGTTTAAGTTGACAAAGCAAGGGAGGACCAGTTGTCATGGGGGAGGGGGGCGCCCGGGTGTCCTCGGGCTCCCGGCATTGGACTGGGACTCAGGCAATCTGGGGTCTAGTTCTGCCCTGGCCATGAAGCTCACTGGGTGATTTTGGGCCACTCAGTCTCTCAGCCTAACCAAACTCGCAGCAGAGGTGCATTAACGAACAGCCCATTGAGGCTGGGATCCTGCATCTTTCACTTGGAGCCCTAAGTCTCTGGGAGGGCATCCACCCCAACAACTTGCTGTCCATGGGCACTTGCTGAAATAAGGGTCCAGGGGCTCTGGTGACCCCTCTTGCATCCCCTTCCCCTGGACGTGCTGGCCGTTGGCCCACACGTGCTTAGAAGGTTTTCTTCTGCTATCCAGGGCCATAATCTCTTTGTACAAAGCAGATGTCCTTAGGATATAGGATGCACTGAAGATATGGAAACACATAGACTTTTGGGCACATGTAAATTAGTATATGCAGCTTTGTGCTTTTTAAAACCTCCTTTTACCCTTTTTAACCTCTCAGGACCTCCTTGCTTAGAAAGGCTCAGGCTCAGCCGCACCTGGGATTTTCTCCACTTTTCCTGTGGGTTTGAGCCTGTTTTGTTTTGTTTTTTTCGAAGTTACCACCCCTGCCTCACAAAGTTGCTGAGAATAAAATGGAGAAGGGGAGGGGTATGCCTTGGATACCCTGCAGAAAAACCTAATAAATATATAAATAATAACAAAAAGACACCGTCGGCTTGCCAGGTTAAAGAATGTCAATGGGAAGCCTTTGGAGGAATTTATTTTTCTGTTCATGACCTTTCAGGGGAGAGTTTGATTGCATTCATTCTGTACTTTGTCCCAGATCAATGGTTGAGGAAGAAAATTTCAAAATCTTTGTATGTGTTTTTGGGGAATAATAATAATCCAGCTTATTTGGAAGCCAAGTGCTTTGCTTATTACAGTTCTGAAATGCCTAATAAAATACATTTCTTTAAAAAAGAAAAGAAAAAAAAGCAATTTAGCTGCTTTTTTAAGTTGATTCTTCCAGAGAGCTGGATAGCCAGACATTCTGAGAAGCAGCAATCACAAAGGAGAACACTGGGAGGAATTAAGGCTGCTCAGGCTGAAAAGATTCAGCTCTTGCTCCTAGAGGCTTAAATGGCATCAGCAGTAGGCATGGAGGGCATTGGCTGGAGCCTGTCAGAGCACTCACTGTGCTTTCTCCTTTGCTTGTGTTCTTTGATGCGGATTTACTGAATCAAGGTAGGAAAATCCTATTTTGACCTTCCTATAAAGCTCCAAACTGAAATAACAGAGGAGCAATGCAGGAAAGTTGAGAAGCGGGGTGGCTTGGGGAGGGCCCCCCCACCAGACGGCACTTTCTCAGGGCCTTCCTCACTCGGCAGTGGCCTTCATCATGTCCTGGCTTTGACCTGCTTGGCCAGCAGCAAGGCACAGAAATTCAGGGGTGGAGCTGCAGTGTGGCTTGAGCTGTGCCGAAGCTCCTTGCCATTTTGACAATGTTTTGAGGCTCTTACGCCTCTGGGAGAGCAGGGCTGCTGATGCCACGGAGAGCCTCAGAGACAGGGAGAGACACAAAGCTGGTCAAGTCTCACAACCTCCTTGCTTAGAAAGGCTCCTGGGACTGATTTTCTCCACTTTTCTACCCATGCGGTGGATTTGGCTGCTTGGCAGCAGCTGTGCGCCAATTGGTAGATCAACCTGCGACTGCCCCTTAGGCTGCACTACCTCCCAGACGGTTTCCCTTGCCCCACTGAGAGAACCTCTTCAACTGCATAAAAATGCAGTCTGAGGCCTTCCCCGTTATAGTGTGGTCCTGAAGAAGGGAGAAGCTGAATCCAGCAGAATTTTCCCTTCCAGGAATCCCTTAAAGGTAGAGGAGCTCTTTCAGGGTACAGATCTGGCCACTGTAGGCTGCGGTTCCTTTAATGTCAAGGGCTCAAAACCTTGGTCCCTATTCTCAGTCCCCCTCTCCTTCCCACCCATTGTTTCTTCAAAGGTCTGCTTTTCTTGCAACGGCCTAGCCAGTTCTTGATTTGGCAAACTTGGCAGCCGGCATCTTGCATTATCCAAAACACCTCCTTCTCCATTCGTCAGCTTTCCACTACTAACACTGCTGTTCCTGTCCTGAGATTCTGGGCAATTTGTTTTTGGTTCGTTCACACGCACACACTACCGTTTTTCTTCATTGACCTGCCTCGTCTCTTTCTTAGAGATCCCTTTGTCCTTCTTGCAACGCTGCCCTTTGTCTTCCCCCATCTGGTCTCCTTGCTTTCCTTTGGCCTCCCACGACCAAACGGCCCCTTCTGTTTCCTAAATCAGGATGCCCAGGTACAAAATAGGTCAAAACTCAAGTGTCTTTCCTAATTGTGTAAAAGAGGATATTTCAGCAAGCTCCATCTTCATGGCACCTGACCAAATTCCCTTTTTTATGAATATATTAAAGGTGTGGGAGTCCTGTCCAATCCTGCAAAAATGCATCACCTAGAGCCAAGGTGAGGCTTTCAGCCCCTCTAAACTAGCTTCTCATGTCTGTCACAAATTTCTTGCAAGCGTCCTACTTGCTCCTTACATTCTCTCAGCATTTAGGGCCAAATAAATGCCATACACAACGATAGCCCAGCAGCTTGAATGGCATGTGTGTGGTACTGCAGCTTCCAATGCAGGAAGCTGCAGTACCACAAGGGCCGGCCGATCTGGCTCAGTATTGTCTACGCCAGCCTTCCTCAGCCTGCTGCCCTGGAGATGCTCCGGACTTCAATCACTCCAGGCAGCATAGCCAATGGTCAGGAAGTTGTAGTTCAAGACACGGGGCTGGGGAAAGCTGACGAACGCAGACTAACAATGACTTACCAAGGGCTCATGTGAGCATCTGCCTCAGACAGGAATTGAACCTGGGAGCATGTGGATGCGAAACTGTTGCTCTGCTGCTGAGCTACTGATCAAGAATGGAGATGCGGCAAGCGAGAGGACTGCATCTAACATTTTGCCTGTTTGCCCATCCTGCCCTTGCCTTGCCTTGCGGGGGTTTCAGACAAATATTTGAAAGGGGAAGTGCCTCCTCCCTGCCTTTTGCCTCTAAGCTCCCAGATGTGCCTTCCCAAGTTCCAGACCTTTCCTCAACAGACTACAGTTACCAGCATTTGTGCACTTCATATAAGGTTTGCCCCCCAGAATGTTTGTGAACATTCCAAGATGCCACCAATCACAAAACCCTTTAGTGGATCATTGCACAGATATTCCCCTAGCTCCAAAGCAGCGAAGCAGACCAGCACTTTAGAAAGCCAGTCTCTGTTCCTCTTCATACCATCCCTTTTATTATCATGCTTTTGTTGTCTTGAAGAGCTGAGTCACTTTTAGAAGGGCTTTCCCGGTTCTGAAGTGAATCATCACATACAACTGTAATAACTCTGAATGTTAGTAAGCTACGTCTTGCAGTGTATATGGCTGTGGGGGGTGTGATGGAGGGGGAAGAAAAAGGAGGAGGAGGAGACAGATCAGATCAGAAAACCCACAGCATGTTCGTCATGCTTCCCTGGTCATTTCAATACAGTTTCAGATGGCAAAAAGCATCTATCAAGACCCAGCTACCTTATGTTCCAGACTGGAGTCTTTAAACATCAGGGAGAAAGGCTTGATATGCTCTCTTCTCAATTTATCGCCACTCCGCAAGTCGATGGTGTGCTCTATTCGCTTGTTAATTTCCTCAGGCCCAGACTGGACATGCAAAGCTTGTGCAAGATGGTTTGGAAGCAGATTTATTGAATTTCTTGTTAGGGCAGCCAGAGTCTAGGGGAGAGCACATGCAAAAAGAATAAACTTGCTAGTCCCCTTTGGGTTAAAATGCATTTTTCTTCTTTCCCTTTTTTAAAAGATCATGTTGCATTGCAAACTGTAACAGCATTCCATGCAATTCATTCATCCCAAATGACCAAATGTTTTTAAAGGAGATGTCTGGACCACAAAGTATTCACACACAGGCAAACTGTTGGACCGCGTGTTTTCAATGGGTTTTGAGGCTGGCAACAATTCCACCCATTTGTCTGATTGTTCGATTATACCAGGGATGCAAAACCTCTCTCAGCTGGAGGGCTACATTCTATCGTGCAGAATCTCTCTGGGCTACATCACAGGGGTGGATATAGCTCAAGGGAAGGAGCAGGGCCCATATCGGCCTATTTTAGCCTAAATCCCACCTTTGGAGAGACATTTCAACCTTTTAAAAGAGGGAAAATACTGCAGAAAAGCCAGAAGCAACCAAACAGTTGGTGGCTGAGGCCAGGAATGGATGGCGTGGCTATGGAGCATATGCCAAAGAGCCAGAGTGGAGGCCTGGATTTGGCCTCTGGTCCTGAGCTTCTGCATCCATAGCTCACACTGAACTGCTATTCATACTTGTCCAAGGACTAGACCGGCACAGAGTTACATTACCTGTGAAACATTTCCCATAGCAAGGGTGCTGGGGACAAAGCATATGCTGGCTCTTAGAAACTCACAATGGGAAGATGGTAAAGTTATTCCCAAGGGAAAGGGTTATTTGCCTGAGGGTACTGACTAGATCACCTCAATCTGGAAGAAGTTCTGTGTGCCCACAGGCACTGGGGTGGTTCTGGTCCATTCTGGCTTCCTTGCAACTCAGTGGAAGACAAAGACTTTTTGGGCAAAGAAATGCGCACTCAGCTGGAACCTTGAAGAGCGATCCCAGGTAAAGGAGCGCCCTTTGTGCACCAAAACTCATAAGAATGTAAGAAGAGCCCTGCTGGATTATGCAAAAAGCTTGTCTAGTCCCTGATTCTGAGGCCAAGCATCTGCCCTTGGGAAATTCACAAGCGGCATACAAATGCAACAGGACATGTTCCCCAACAACTGGTGGCATAAACCACCCAGACAGCTTTGGCTGCTGGGAATCATGGAAATTAAATAAATAAGTAAATAATAGGGCTAGGGCCTCTTAATGATCCTGAGGTCATTAAGACTATGGTCACTATCAACCACAAATCTGGAGAATGAATGAATGAACGAATGAATGAATATCTATATATCTAGATCAAGAGAACCTTCCCTCTCAAGGCTTCCAAACTGGGGGGGGGGGCACTTGCTACATTTGTGGCAGCCAATTCTATCTTTTAACTATGTGCTGTGGGAAGAGGAAGAACTTTGGTTTATCCATCCTGAATGTTCCATGTTGGTATGAGCCCAACGAGAAGGAGTAAAATCTCTCCCTTTCCACTTTTTTCACACCATTCTGGACCGAAGCATGGATTTCGGAGCTGTTCTGTTTGTGAGATGATAAAGATTAGATGGCCTTTATTTCTAAGGTTGGCTTCACACATTTACATGCTTTCAGCCATTTATTATGTACAAGATTGGAAGCTACCCTTTTAGTAACCCAGTCTCTTTGTCCATCCTCTCATGGACTACTCTAACTAGCAGCTGCTAACAACTAAAGGAGTACCTTTTACCAGCTGAGTTGGTGGCCTAGCTATGCCCCCATCTGGGCAGGGAAAGCTTGCTTTGTGTAATATCCACTCTGGTAATCTCTGTGACTCTCCCTGAGATGATTGTCTCCTCTAGTGAGTCCTGCTTTCTCATGATATGTCTGAAAAACAGCCTCAGTTTTGCTTCTGGGGAAGTTCTGGTTTGCTTTGATCTAGGATTCCCTTGTTGGTCTCTCTGGCAGGAAGGGTATTCGCAATATTCCTACCCTTGTTTTCTCCTTAAGACTGAACCCATCCATGATTGATAGAGTAGCCCAGTCTTTCCCAATATGGTGCCCCCCAGAGTGGTTGGACTGGCTGTGGATTCTGGGAATTTTAGTCTTATATCTTCAGGGAGTACCCGATTAGTAAGGCTGGAGTACAGTAAGAAGACACTGCACCTTTAATAATTATGCAGAGGAGGAATTCTCAGGTACAGCTAAAAGGAGCCTGTCCTTTTTAACATTATTATTACTACTACTACTACTACTACTACTACTACTACTACTACTATTATTATTATTATTATTATTATTATTATTATTATTATTATTATTATTATTACATTTCATCTGGCCACTTCTGGCCACATTTTATTTCTTTATTGCAAACATCTTTATTTTGTAGTCTTCATGATTTTACAAAATTGAAACAAGAAGGAATGGGACATATGCTTTGAAGAATATTCTGAAAATGGTTGAATACAGAAGAAGCTGTCATTTTTTTCCTTTCTTTGTTATAAGCATCCATCAGAAATGGCCATTTGGCTGTGGCTAGATGGAAAAGGAAACGTACAATCCTGTGGGACCAGTGGTGCTTTGCTGATGCACAGAGGACCACTATTTCCTCTCCCACACTTCTGAAAATCTCTAGGAAGCCCCTTCCACAATTTATTCTACTGTGCAGGTCTTTTTATCCAATGGAACCCTCATAGTGCATTCACACATAACACCAAGCCAGGAGTGTGCACTTGCTTTGGCCATAAGGGCTGCATGTAGGGGCACCATGACCATGGGGAATGGGGCTACACATCTGTGCTCATTTACATATACACACTTGTACCTGCTTGGACACTTGAATATGTCTATGCACACCCATACGAGCACACCCATGCACCATTATCTGTGGAAATAAGGAAAGGATTTATCTGCCAGGGCTAGCAAATCAAGCCCTTATGTATCTCCAGGCTCTCAAAGGACCAAAGATCAAAGGACCAGAGCTAGTGGGCGATAGCCCCAGTAACACCAAATTGATTGTTTTGATGGCCAGTCCAGGGAAGTCTTGTGGACTGCTGGAAAGGGCTTGGCAGCCAGGATGTGACCCACAAGCTGCCCTTCTTCCACTCTTGCAATAAGCCATGGCTTACATTACATTAACCACAGTTATTAAGTTGTTGTTGTCTTGCAGAGGAGCAAAGAAACCATGGTTCATTTCCTTATTTCTAGTTTGTTTCTCTGCTGATCATCTTGATGTCTGTCAGAGAAGGCTGTTCATGTTCAGGCTTCTTGGTTAGAAATTAGAACTCTGGAACATGCTCAGGTTTCATGACAGACTTCCAGGGGTCCTTGGACAGAGTTACAAGTGTGGAAAGAAGAGGGACATGCATGGAGCTCACGGAGTCATCTTTAGCCCAGTGACTATACTTTTGAAACAATCAACCAAAGACTTTGAACAGACGGAGAAAAAAGGTTGACACTGTGATGCTATGAAGCTTGGGATTAGGATACCTTTCCTGAAAATGCCTAACACCATGGCATGAATTTATATAGGAATTCAATGGGGGTGGGGGAGATTCAGGCTAGTGTTAGGGTTCTGGAACCTTCATGCCCTATGTTTGTCAAAGGGCCTGGAACATGCTCAGGAGGGGCAGAAAAGCAGAGTTGGCAAAAAATATTTGGATTCTGCCACTTTTCCTGAAAATGACCAAGACCATAATACATATTTCTATAGGAATTTAATGGAGGAGGGGATTCAACCTAGGGTTAAGTTTAAAAAACCTTCATGCCCTATGCTTTTCCAAGGGCCTGGAACATGCTCAGGAGGGTCAGAAAATGTGAGCCGGCTGAAAAAATTTAGATAGTGTGAAGAGCTGGTACATGGATAAAGCCCACTGGGTCATCCTTAACCAAATGACTACCCTTTTGATACAATGGACCCAAAGACTTTGAACAGAGGTAGAGAGAGGGATGTCAGTGTGAGCTCTGAAGCCCAGTGAGTCCTGTGATTTATAATGCACAGAAACCTGTTTCAATTCAACTGACACCTTTCCCTAGTCTGGTTCCCTCCAGCTGTTGCTAGGAATTACAGGACTTGTAGTCCAACACATCTGGAGGTAAAAAGTTGGGGAAGGCTGCAGTTGGGTCACTTTTTAAAATAAAGGGATAGATGAAGAAGTGATGTCTGAACTCGCTAAAACCCTTTGAAAATCAGCTCATTGCTTGATACACTCCCAATTCTCATTTGTGAAATTTGCTTACTCTGGCTGAGCAAGAAACTTGCACAAATCAAGCAGCGATTGCGGTGAAGATTTGTACAATTCACCCCCTGGTGGCACAATTTCTTGCATAGTTAAAATGAGGATGATTCAAGAATATTTGCACAAATTTGCACAGGTCATTAGGAAATTTGTGCAAATCAAACTGGGAATTGGGAGCAAACCAAACATAAGGATGCATTGGACAACTGATCAATATTTTGGGCACATATGTGCTTTCACTCATGCTGACCTACTGAACTTTGAACAGGTCAAATTGAACAGGTTGCAGTGAGGATAAAATGGGAGTGAAAGCCCAAGTTGATAGTCCTTTGCTTTTGGAAGAAAAGGTGAAGTACAGATGAGATCAAATAAGGACAGATGTATCTGGGATTAACAGAGGGATGCATTTATTTCCCATGTTACTTTTTGTACCTATGAACACTCTTAAAAAGATACACCTGTGATCTGTATGTTTGCCATTTTGGGTTGTATCCAAGGTTAGTCTTACTTGGAGCAGACCCATGGAAGTGAATATAATATAAAGTTAGACCGGCATTGGATCCATCTCCTGCCAACTCTCAGAGGATCAGTATGGAGCATGCAAAAATGCAAGGAGCGTATAAAAAGAGCCAGGCAGGCTCACAACGCAAGAACAAAACACACCCGTGGAACAGATGTTGCGTAGAAAGAGAGTCAGGGCGACAATTACAAAAGCCAGGGGACATTCGCTTTCCACCATCCGCTTGTGAGGGTTTGCAAAATGCCCAAGAGGCAAAGAGGCGACTGGCCAAGTGGCCCCTCCATGTGTTGCATGTTTAAGCACTGAGTGATATGGA